GATTTATGACAAAAAATCTGCTGATTTCCTCACTGTGCTCCCACTTGGATGTTCTTCAGACCCTCTAACGATCCTGCTTGCTGTGTTGGAGGCTGGTGTTAGTACGAGGGGATACGTCTCCCAGCACAGTGTTATCATTTTGTCCAACAGTAGCTGACTCTGTGTCTGATGAGTGTTGCTGTTAATGTCACCTCGCTGTAGCCGCAGCTCCCCAGGCGTTCCCCCTGCACAGGGCTGATGGAGCAGGGTCTGATTGCTTCCTCTGGGTGGTTCATCCCGTGGGTGCGTTTTGCCTCATTGATCCCAAATAGAGTTTGGAGGCTCTTGAGAACACGGTTTGGGTGGGATAGCAGCAGAATAACTGGTTGGGCAGCTGTAGCAGCTTCCTGTTGAAATTGTTCCAGTATAACTCTTTCTTCTTTTTCTTCTCTTTCCCAACCAACCCCAGGTTTCTGCTCTCTGGCAATCTTCACGGTGGCTCAGTGGTTGCAAGCTATCCCTACGATGACTCTCCCACACATAAACCCACAGGAGTCTACAGTAAATCAGCTGATGACGAAGTGTTCAAATATTTGGCTAAAACATACGCATCCCATCACCCCATAATGAGAACTGGCAAACCCAACTGTCCTGGCGAGGAGGGAGAGACCTTCCAAGATGGGATCACAAACGGTGCCCAGTGGTATGATGTAGAAGGTAAGCTGTGCTGGTGGATCACTCGAGCTCTGCTAGTTCACCTCACAGAGTGTCTTACAGAAATAGTTTCTTGCTCCTGTTGAGAACTGACATCCAAACCAGTGGTAATTATCACAGAGGAAAGGATGGTGGGTGAGGTGATATTTTTAACTTTGAATGTGTTTTAGCAGCTTGAAACGAAGGGAAGTGGCATCACAGGCACACCAGTAAGTGCTTGATGAATCACAGCTTGGGAGATGTTACTAGGGAAGAGATCACAGCGAGCTGGAGGGTTCTTCCTGACCCTGTTAGATGGTGGAGAGTTATCCTGCATGCAGGAGGCTTCATTTATCAAATGAACTGTCACTAGGTCTCCAAATAGCTACTAAATTTTAATACAGGAAAGAGGAAACTATTGTTAAAGGTATTAAACCAATGCTCATATTCTGTGAGGTTTTTTTTAACCTCCAGACTTGTAATTTTGTAAATGAATATAGAGCAGCCTGCTGTAAAACTCTGTGAAATGATTTAAATGTGTGGTCTGAGCTAACCTGGCTGCTCTTGCTGGAGGTGAGGTTCCTGGAACTGCTCTTAGACCTGTGCACATGGCAACAACCAGCATGGCCTGTTCTCATCCACCTGTTCTGTGGCAGGATCCAGAAGGGATCCAAAGTTTGGTCTGCTGGGACTTCTAGGAGAGCTCCTGTTCCCACCATTGGGCAGCTGCTTTGGGGGTGATCTAAATATCAACAAATTACCTCTCGGTGCCAGCACTCTGCTTGTGTGGAGGTGGCTGGCCTGGCTCAGGCACGCAGTGGGCTGCTCTGTGTGCGTCTGTTTTGCTGACAATGGGATTTAAATGGTGGTTTATGTGACGAGGTGCTCTCGTGGAAAAAGCTCTGTGGGCTGGTGAGAAGAGAAATCTTGGCTGTGTCATTAGGAGTTACACCATTGCCATGCTCCCTCGGCGGGTGTTGTACAACCGTGGCCTCACCAGACAGGGTGGAAACTTCTGTGGTGAGGACACAACCCAAACCTTGCGTAAATGATCCAGAGAAGTTGTGTTGCTTTGCTGTGCCTGCACTGCTCTGCTTTCCCTCATTGAGGGGTGATGGCAGGAGTGCTGAGCAAGCAGGGAAATCGGGTGTTGTTTATCCTTCAGAGCTGACAGCCTGACAAATTCTAGTAAGACGGTGTCTTTGCAAAACATGGGCTTCTGAGCCGAGTCCTGTCTTAACCCTGCATCCACCTTGCTTGGGAAGGAGGGAGAAGGATCCAGCATTGGGCCTGAACACACCACCTTTGTGCTGGAAGAGGAAGTCTTGATTTCAGCAGTGGCTGAATCATTCCTCAGGATTTCACTGGTCAAACAAGGTGTCGTGTTCAAATAAGATGCGGTTTTATCTCTTTGTCTAGCAGCTGTCTCCTTCCCTCCACCCTGTCGAGCACACCAGCTCTGGTGTTTGCTGGCTCAAGGTTCGCTCTGCTGCTGTGGAAAGTCTGTCAGGAGGAAGGTTTGTGTAATCTGGTGAGTTTGCTTATGAGGAAGCAGGATATCCTGGATGATCTGTGCTGCCTGGTTCTGGTGGCAGTTGTTTTCAGTGAACACCTCAGTTGGGAGGTTTGCTAGCTGCAGCTCTAATCCTTTCTGTCCTTGTAGTGGGGTGGGATGGGTGTGCTCTGGAGGGAGGGTTCCAGAGCTTTGGGCCTGTGTTCTGCTGCTCAGTCAGCAGCATTTTTTGCTGCAGCATTAATATCTTCATCCTCCTGCTGGGATGTGAGACACGTGGCTGGTGGCCGTGGCACTGAGCCTTTTGGGCTGCCTTTGCCTTGTCAGTGAGCAGAGCAGAGGTTTCACCTACTTTCCTTTCACAGGAAGCAGCAAGGTGTGAACTGAAGAGCCGTTTGCTCTGTGCTGCTATCCCTGTGGTTTGTATTATGTCCAGTAGCCTCCAGCTTCCAGCCTCTGAGGAAATAAACCCTTTTGCTGTGACAAGCCACAATCTGGGGCTCAGCGCTGATGGCTGCAGGCGATTCATGGCCAGAGATCAGAGGGAGTGTGCACTGACACTGGCTCTCAGAATGGAGCATTGCTGAGGTTGGCAGACCTGTGTGGTTTCTCCCTGAAGTAGTAATTTACCTCTTATTGCTGTTAAAGGTACTCACGAGGAGGGTGATGGCAGCTCTTGGAGCACCTCCCAGGCTGAGGAGCTCACATCAAGTGTAACCCACGGGAGCTGAGATCGAGGGAAGAGAACAGGTGGAATAACAGATACTGCAGAGGCTGATACACCTGTGTTTTGATGTTGTGTGAAGTTACTGTGTCCCTTTGCAGTCTTAAGTGTTAATATTTGTTTTTAGTAGTGGATGAAGAGCAGGCAAAGGGGAGTCAATTGTACTCCATGTGTGACAGCAGCAGCAGAACCACCACGGTGACTGTATTGAGGCATCTGACCTGCTCAGCTCCATGCCAAGGACTGCTGAGGCTCACACTCGGACCAGGAGGCCTTTCCCAGTGACTGCAGAATTTAAATGTGTGGTAAAATGAGGCTGGGAAATCCCAATCCCCTGTGGGAGCTCCCTGAGCTGAGCTCTAGAGATAACCAGAGCACATGGTTCTGTGAACAGCACAGGGCATGAGGTTGTGGCCTGCGGATCAGGTTGTGCCAGGACAGACTGCAGGCTCCAGGTGAAATAAAGCAAGGAAAAACAAAGAAATGAGAACATAATGTCTCAACAGGTGGAAATTTTCCTGCCACGTTTTATCATGTGAAATCAAACATGCTGGAGAGCAAACTGCCACCGGATTCATTGTCCTGGAGTTACCAGTTCAGGTTTATACTGGTGCCAGACCCCATTAACTTTAATTTGAGTTTGCAAACAACCTCTTACGTGTGTCAAACCGAGGTGGCGAGTACAAACCATTGGAGTAATTGGTGAGGTCAAGTGTGCAGAGAGAATGGTGGCTCTGTGCCAGAGCCTGCCTCTGGCTTCTGCATTCCAGCTGCTCTAGATAAGCAGGTCTGTGACTGGGGATGGTTTTCAGAGGCTATCTCAGCTGCACATGCTCTTACTCTTCCTTCCTTTTTAACCTCTGGGGGTTTTAACTACCAAGTGGCTGGTTCAGATCAAGAAAACACATGCCAGTCTGGGCTGGTGTGTGGTCGTCCAGGTGATGAAACAGCTTAAGTCTCACCATGGGAAGGAGATGCTCGCTTTTATTTTGCAAAGAGCCCAGTTCAGAAACTGAATTCAACTTGATGTTCAATAGGAAATTCTGTGGGCAGCCGTGGAAAGTCTTGTTGTTATTTGCAGTCCTTTCTCAGTTCTTCTCCTTGCTAGTTTGACTCTCTGATGTCCAAGTGTTGGAGGTGTTTCTACTGGAAGGCACTTCTCAGGTTGAAAGTGGGTTTAGGTTACGTCTGTGCTTAGTAGGTTGTTTTGACTGTGGTTACCAGACACACTGAGCTTCCGAACAGCTTTTAGTGGCATCAAGCTCAGAGCAATTACAATGAGTGCTGAGAACACTGGGTGCTCGTGGCATCGCTGTGGTGGCCTCTGTTTCCTGGGCATGGCAGAAGGCTGTCACACTGGGTGAGCTCTGGTAGAAGTTTTCAGCTGTGTCTTTCTGGGATATGCACCATTAACTGCCCTTGGGTGTTTGTGTTTTCATAAAATTCTTGTTGCAAATTTTTCCTTCTTCTTGAGAAAAACATTGCCTTGATGGTTCAAGGGTCTGATGCCTGTTTTCACATCTCACTTGAACTGCTGGGCAATGCTGTGGTGGTGCAGCTCGTGGGAAGATTCTGTCCTCCTCTTTGAGAGCCCTGGGAAGGCGGCAGGGCTGTGCTGCTCTGGGTGTGTGGTGCAGCTGCTGCAGCTGGAGGTTTAAACCTCACCTCCTCTGAGTTTTAATGATTGCAGATTAATGGACCAAAACGTTCCTCTACCTATTTGGTGCTGCTTCTGGTGCTTGTCCTGGTCTCATGCTACGAGACAATCCGTTCTGTCCACAGAATCAGTGACTTGTGCCATGTATTTAATCACATCTCCAGCTTGCTTTGTGCCATCTGCTCTCTCTGCAGAGCAGACATGACCATTTCTCCTCTTCAACTTCGTTGCAAGTCTCTTGCCTCCTAATGTCTGCTCCAGTGAGAGCTGGAATTAGAGAGGTTTCTGCGTAGTGCAGTTTGAAAATAGAGTCCTTCCTGGCTGGCCTGGAAGGCTTCTCCTGGCACGTGGTGTATTTATGGTATCTGGATCCCTGGCTTTGACGCTAGAGAGCTGCATTCTCCTGCTTGCATGCCTGGTGTGGAGCTTGGCAGGGAGCAGAGGCATGCTTGTGCTGCAAGAGGTCTGGGATCCTTGCCTGAAGTGCAGTCCTGATGCTTAAGGAGTGGGACAGAGCAGCAGAGAGGTTTGTTCTCAATATTTTTGTGATCTACTGCCAGCCAGAGACTGACTTGCTGTGACTGTAAGCTGCTCACTTTTTCCTTGCTTTCCTCACCAGTAAAATAGGTGTGATGCTTCACTGGGAGGCTGAAGCTTTACACTGTGTGGGCTAAAGGACACCCTGTGATTAAAAAAAATGCTGGAATAAATCCAGCAAGTTATTCCAGATATTATAGGTTGAGTAGAAGCACTGTAGTCTGACAGTCCTCTGCCTTGGGTGTGCTTTTACTGCTCTGCTCCTTGAATGTAGTGCTCTGTTAATGGTGGGCTGTGTGCAGGTCTCTCTTTACACCTCCAGATCTTCTGTGGATCCAGGAGAGGCTGTGCAGATGGTACATGGAAAAATATATAATTCCATATGCTGTAAAAATAACTGTCCTGCTCTGCAACGGGGCCCTGTGAAGGGCAAATATGTGCAGCAGATACAATCTACATTTTCAAGCATGCAGTGGACTACTTTCTGGAAGAGACAGTTTTACCCAAATTGATGTAGCAAGCTCTAATTCGGTCCGTTGCTACTCTATTATGGGTGAGCATCTGTCCTAAATTTGCTTGAATGGCAGATGAAGAGCTAAATATGCTTCATAAGAGCTCTGCTTTACGTATGGATGTTTTCAAATGCATTAGTGTCCTGCTAGGAACAGATGGTTATGGGCTGGCAAATGGTTTCACTCGGCATGGTGTTTACTGGTGGGAGAGCTGCCCGCTGTGGGTTGCTTTTCTGAGCCTGGTAACAGGAGCTGAGCAGAACTGAGTGTGTATCAGATTCGCAGCCCTTGTTTCTCCAACCTCTCGAACTGAGTCTGAGAGTTTTAAAGCCCTCAAACAGTTTTTGGCCTCTTGTGCTGGACAGAAAAGTCTCTTTCCTGTTTTGATTTCAGCCTGTGCACAAGCTGCGGTGCTTTCTGGCAGCAAGTGACATTTGATTTGTTATGATGAAAGGTTCGTGTTCCCTTAGCAGCAAACTCCCAGAAGAATTGAGAGGAACCGGGACATCTTTGTTGTGGTACCATCCTGCAGATCTTCCCAGGGGTCTGTTCTTCTAAATCCTGCTTCATGCTGTCAGTCCATCTCTGCGTTACCTGCGTGGGGTGGGGCTGTTGAATTCGGAGCAGCAATCCCTGACCTTTTCCACAGCAAATGCTCACAGCAGCCCCTTATAATAAATTTATAAGACTCCTGTGCTTGGTGAAGTGGTGTTGAGAGCTTTTTCCTGGCTGTGCATTAACACAACCTCTGCAGATGCCAGGTAGTGCATTTACATGGTGGTATTGATCCATCCTGGCTGACTAATTGCCCTGCACCCTGGAGGGTCCCTCACTTGTGAATGATGAGGGAACTGTTCAGAGCAGGTGAGGTTTGTTAGCACAGCGCTAAAGTAGCACTTTGGTGGGCAAAGCAGAGGATGGGAGTTCAAAGGATGCATTTCTTGCAGACTTTCCTGCT